CTTCATATAAGTCAGAAATACGTAAGTACGCTTATTCAATTCAATTCAAATTCATTTATGTCGACCAAACTAGGATCTTAATTATTGTATTAAATGTTCAATTAGGTACATAAATATTAACCAAGAACACATTAATCATAAAAAAAATGTAATATATAAAATTCTCGTGTCACGGTGTGCGTAATTGAACTACTCACGGCTCAACCGATTTTCGTGAAATTTTATATGCATACTAGCTGACCCAGCGAACTTCGTACCGCCCTAAAAAAATAGGGGGTGGTCCAGCGGACAAAATTGTGAATCTAAACCATTCTCAGATCCCCTTGAACACACACAAAAAATTTCATCAAAATCGGTCCAGTCGTTTAAGAGAAGTTCAGTGACATACACACTCACAGAAGAATTATATATATAAAGATTCAATAGGTCTGAGAATCGGACAACATCTATTTTTTGTCAACCAAAATTTTAACCCTTAAATTTTTTTTGGACAAATTTTTTGCATATATTGTTTTATGATACCTCATACAAAAATACATACAATCCTAAATTTTCACCCTTCTACCACCAACCCCTATTTTTTTATGGCTGTACGAAGTTCGCTAGGACAGCTAAATAGTGTAATATAAAAATAATCATAATAATTTCAAATAATTCCAATCGACATTAAGTTTTCTAAGCAGATCAGGGAGCGAAAGAAAATCGTGTAAAACGTCATCTGTAAGTTTTCGGAGCAAGCAGAATAACCGCCTTATTCCAAAACACGGACTAAAATTAGCCGTGGTTTAAACCAAATATTGCCTTTGTCTTCTTTTTTTAAGCCAAAAGTGGCAGTATCAGTTTTAGTCCAGGTTTAACTTTAGTGTACGTTTTGTAATAAGGCAGACTCCGCAGCGTGTGAGTGGAGTCCTCAGACCAAGGTGGTGGAGTCATGGACCAAGTGAAGCCAAGAAAAAGGAATTGACGATGCAGAAGCAGTTTGTTAAACAAGAACCTTTAAGAATGTTATATTTAGGCAAACTTATAACGATTTGAGTGTTTTGTATAGTAACTTATGTGCATTTTCTCTCGAAAAGCACCATTTGGTTAAGTAGTATTAAAACTGAGGATCACAAATCACTTTTTAATTATGAATTCAGAAAATTGAAATACTGTCACTGTTTGTATTATAATAAGTTTTGATGTAAGCATAAAAAATATTTATTGCTCTTTTAATTTATATTTAAAGATTAGAATTTGCTATATTGCGAAATAAGTTTTTTTAGGATGTTATGAAAAATGGCAGACTCTAACAGAAGTATATAGTATTCTGTACTCTACGTACAAGTTGATAATTTAAATCGGTAACACAAAAAAACCTTATACCTATATACTGTTTCTTCCTTCCAATAATTATAATGATGACCAAACAGCAAACTAGGAGTATGATAACCAATGATATGACAGGTTTTCTATCTGAATATTAAAGTAATTTATTTCCAAAGTTCCATTAATTTATTAATACTTGTTGCACTACATAACTTTAATATTAGAATGTTTTTTTTTTGATAAAACTCTTGTATTTCTTTTTGTAATATTTTTGCAAAGCAATATTATTGCTTAGAATAATAAAATAAAACATTTTCACCAAATAAGTTAGCAAATCAATGTTGTATTGATATTAGATTGTATTTCAAAATTCATTATTATTAATTGTTTTTAGTCTGTAGAGCTATACCATAAATAATATTCATAGACCATGCAATATTAAAGAAACATTTTATGATCTCGATTCAATAAAAAGAATAAGCAATGGAAATAACTTAGTTAATTGAATTAAGCATCTAACGACCATATTTTTTTTTATATTCAAAACTAAATATGGAAGCGAATTAGGCGCTGATAAAGTGTAACAGGTACCTTGATAGGTACTGTATTAAAACTGTATTAGTACTGTTAGTAACACAATATTATCTGATAATAACTCCGTATTTAACCGTTGGAAAAACATTGTCAAAGATAATAATGTTATTGTTTTTGTTCACGACGCAATAGCCGCTTGAGAAGCTACGTGGGCAAAGCTGATAATAGCGCAAGGCCATCTACCTCGGCGGCCACCAAGGTTGTTTTTGTGTGTAAACATTACTCACACAAACAAACGACCCGGTCTCAACAACTAACTTCCTGATAGACAATAATGAAACAAAACAAGTAATCATCTTACCATTTTTTATTAAACCTTAAATAATTATTACAGTCGTCGAGTATCTCGTTCAAGACACAGAATTAAACTCATAATAATCTAGTTAGGAATTAGTAACACAGCAATTTTGAGCTTTATAACAAGCCCAGTAGGTTGAGATCAGTCCACGGAACGGTGTTGGGTCCAAAATAGCATCACTGGTGCAGTCGCAGTGGCTTCACGTTTCACCTGGGCCTCGGCCTCTGTCGACACCTCATCTTGAAGTTGTGGTGTGCAGTGTAGAAGCTGTGCGTCAGTAGAAACCGCCTAGGGTGTTCCCATGATCTCTGAGATGAGCGGCGGTCCGAAACCTCCTCGGGTATCCGCCATAACAACCTCCTTTCGCTCGGCATATCGGTTATCCTTAAGCAAGCCATGTCGCCTTTAAGCCATCACTTCTTTAGTGCTTGTTATTGCCTTTCTTGTTGTTCTGTGTGTTCACTAGTTTAGTAACGATCTTTCTAGAATGGCCGGACGGATCGAAGTGGTTCGTGTGCTCGCTTACCTCCTTCTTCGTACGTTGCTTGCCACTGTGTCCGGAGAAGATGTGTTTGTCGTGGTCGAAGTTGTAGTAATCGTATTGGTCGAAGAAAGCCTCGGACATATTTGTTATTGGTGATTTGAAAATTGTATTGACACGAGAATTTGTCACGGTGACAGCGTCACTTGTAGTCTGTTGAATTGTTGCAAACGGAATGCTCGCTGTACTAAGTGGGGTCTGGCTTTTATAGCCTGAGCGCGACACGTCACTGACCGCATGCGCGTCGATAATATTCTCGAATTGTGATTGGTCACTCCGCGCGCTGCGACCTGGTTATGCATGACATGAAGGTTTGTTTATTTATGTTGGTCTGCTTGTGTGGGTTAGCCGGGGTATATCATTGTATTATAGAATATGATATCTGCCGTGTTGTTTTTTTTTTCGCGAAATCCTTATGATTTTTGCATCATTACCTAGCGCTATCGATTGAAATAGGAGGCATAAGAACAAGAAACCCGTAAGACAAGACACGTCGAACCGAATCGGCCTCGGTTAACCGCGTGGTTTTTGGATAACCTAACTCTATTGCATTTAATTATTTAATTTTAATTGAACTATGTTAAAATGAAAGTAGAAATATAATTGGATTTAACTATACTTACTATGTTTGTCATACGCGCCTTATACATAGTACACAAAGTAGCCTTTACATTTAAGAGTTTATCATACATTCATGTAGAGAATTCATTCTTATGTTCATATAACACATAATAGGTATTTTATAAAGGTAGTATACAAATTAAGGTCAGCATGTAACGTAAATGTTTTGATTATAGCAACGTAATTTTTATAAAACAAAAAATCTAAGTATTTCAATTATAATTTCTTATTCAATACACAACATTTTATTACAGTTGTTGATATTCAGACTAAGAACAATGTTAATTAACCAAATTGAAAGAATTTCAATAATGTTAGCGACATCATTGTGTTTAAAACTGGATAAATTATAGGTAGGTACTTTAGACAATAGGTAAGTGAACAAAGAATTACACAACATCACGTAGGTAATTTTGATGATAAATGAAAATAAAATCGTGAAGATACGGGTGAAATCACGTTTTTCATATTCTGTTAATAATGAATCCCGTGCTGCCATCTGTTAATGACTTCAGATAACATGAACATTCGTAAGTTGCTTTAGCACATTTTACAAACGATTTAAAAATATAAATAATACTATTTCTATTAACATAGACTCTTAAAGAAAAAGTACCGAAGTAATGACTAGATATTTATAACCTAAAAAAAATTGTCTTTAAATTTAAACGCCTATTGTAAAAGACATAGCAAAGTTGACCATATGTTACAAAATCGTGAACATTTTCCGCTTTCCGTAATATTTAATTTAGTAATTAAAGAAAAATTGGCAAGTTTTCTTCTTGTGACACTGGTTACAAAACATAGGCAAATTCATAGTTGCAAAAGAGATATTATGTATGTAAAAGCATGATAATACATATGTAATAGGTATCTTCTTACAAGGTTTTTTTTACACTTTTTTCACATGTTTTTCTTTGCTTTGATAGAAAATAATACAAAATAAATAGGTACCCGTAAAAAATTGTAAGTTAACTGAACCTATTCCAAACGAGTGGGCAATTCATTTGCAACCCTATGACACTCGTCACTTTTATGTACATTTAAGGGATGGTTACACAAGTTTGCCTATCTTTCTAAAAAAATATATTGACGAAAGCAACGCCACCACCTTAGATTAAATTGTTTTAATTTATGGCCACCACTGATTTAAAGATTAAAGCATAAGAATCAGAGATATTGAGGCTGGGGCCGCGGTTTTTTAAAGAACTACATCGCTAGGCAAAGTTGCTGTTGTCAACAACAACGTTGCCTGTATGTTTCAATACTCATTTTAGCTTAATTAATGCGCTTTAAGCTAATTTCAAACCTTGGGTGTGTAGCTTAAGGTCCAATTTTGAATTGTCTGAAAAGTGTTATAAGATATATATTTCTTGTTTTTGAAGAAATATTTAATTGAAACGTCAAATTCCAAGCAATGTTGCAGCATTTTACGGTAGTTAAGCTTTAATAAGCCCTGTGTTCAAAATAAATGTTTGTGTGTTAATTTAAAAGAATTTTGACTTTTGCATTCTTTACTTGGTACTTAGGACTAAAACCTATTTCATTAGCTTAGCACCCTTTTTTTTCTTTATTTTAAAATGTATCTAATTATGAAAAGAGAAGGTTCTTGGTCATATTTATTTTTATATCACTTACCTGCCAATATCAGAGCAATGCGGTGCGTCTGTGCAGACTGCAGCCTTCTGGAAGGTGTGCAGCCACGACGGAGAAGGTGGCAGTGGGTTGACTGGATCTGGAGGTTCAGCATTCCTCCTGGCGTTGTAGTCACTTCTGCCGATGAGATAACCACTCAGTGCTGAGACAAGGACCAATATCACTAATCCTGTGATGATCAGCTTCGTCCGAAGTTTGTACGGCCTGCAATTAAGAAAATGCACCGATTAAAACCTTTTTTAATTGTTCCAGCTATTTGTTTTTGTTGTACCAGGAATATGTGTGAATATATATGTTACGGAAAGGCAGCTTTTCTATTATCTCTTAATTGATTTTCTTTTAAACATCAATCATACTCAAATCTAATAATATTTATGTGCATTTTGATGTTATCGCATCAACGAATCCAATCTTACTTAAGTATATGAAAAAATACCGTATTCTATTTTTATTACGCGTATTTTCGATTACTTCTACTTACTTTTCCGGATAATCGTCATCATCACTACTGAAATTTCCTTGAAATATCGCGAATCTATTAATAGGTGACACCAAACGGATGGTGTCCATAGGAATATCGTCAACCCGAGTGCTAATAAAATGTCTTCTGTGCAAGCCGCTATGATGCTCCATATTATTTTATTAAAAATTGCAGTTTTGGCACTCAATTATAATAAACCTACACAGGAATCTCCACCGAAAAATTAACACTTATTATACTGTTAGATTCTAATTTCCTATCACAGTAATCTAGTGAGTAACCAATTAGCCGGAATTAGTGACGTATTGACCCTTTTATGAGCTTTCTATATGGTTATGACGTTTTCAGTAACTGACAGATGTTGCAATGAACTTAACTTGGCTACTCGCTAGTACCTTTCGTGAAAATCGATAAGGAAAACAGCTGAGCGGGCCTGAGAAACGGGTCGCCGGGTTTACGCGGATGTATAATAGATGGCGCGGAGAGTTTTTATTTCAACGCACCTTTATTTTAATATTTTACCAAATTCAAATAAGTTTAAGAGTCTATGACATGCGTAATTCGAGAAGCATTTTGTTATTTGCAGAACGCGTAGATAGCAGTCTTAGAAAATTGAATATTATGATTCCTACGTCATGTTACTTCTTGCGGTGTACATTTTGTAGGAGTTAAGCTTTTACCATTTTTATCGAACATAAAACTGTCAAATTTAGCAATAGGTTATAGTTTCGTCAATTCGGTTAGTTCTGACTTTTTGCAGATTAGTTAATGATGTTGGCCTAATGAATAATCCAAGTCTATGACAAAAATCGATTAAATTCAACTTTTTTTCAGTTTTTGGCAATTAAAACCCTAAAAGACTTTGTTTTCGATAGTATATTTTTAAAACGTTTTTCAAGTAAACTAAATTTGCTTTAATATGGGAATATAATTTTCTCTCTTGACCCAATAGTTTCTGAGGTAAAGCTTGCCAATATTGAAGTGAAACTTCTTATGGCACGCTTGACTTGGGGGGTCAACTGGTGAATGTGTTACGGTTACGCGTTACGATTAGTGTCATCGGTGACTCATCGGTAAACATCTAACATCGAATCTAGTGCTAACTTACATGCTAACTTTATGTTACCTAAATATACCAATCAATAATCAATAATAATTAAGTATTTTAGTATTAACTCTACGGCATTGAAATCCGCCGTATGCTAATTTTTTTCTATCAACAAATCTTCAGGTTAAGTTTATGATTTTCAGACCGTTGGAGCTAAAGAAGTTTCACTTTAGTAGTGTGGTCATAAGCACATTCACTTTTTTTTTATTATTTTTTGTGTTTTTGTTTTTTACAGTATTCTTTATGTCACCAATGTCATATTGTAGTTCCAATATACCTCCAACATGCCTCCGACGGAGTGTACATACGTGTTGCTTGTGTGTGGCGAGTCATAATTATACATATGCTCATATTAAAGAGACAATCCTAATCTAATCACATAATGTAGCAAATTTTGTCTATTTTATTAACGACCTGAGCAAGTATTTTATAAAAAATGCTTTTTTGGGTTATAATCGCTAGTCTAAAAAAACCAGGATTTCCCTTTAGTCTTTCAATTTATAAATTATTTTTTAAAATTTTGACAAACTTGTTTTAATGATTGAGCCAACATCATTTAACAAGCATACAAAAATTAAGAAATACCGTATTTGACGTCAGCTCTGATGTAAAAATATAGTGGACTATAATAATGTAATGTACTTATGTACGATCGTATCAACTGATTTCTGACCCTTAGGCCGTATACAGAAAGAAAGCCGAAAGCCGACCGGCGCCGATCGGCGCTTATCGGCGCCTATCGGCGCCTATCGGCACCGATCCTTCCTACATAAAGGAAGCCGATTAAAGCAGATCAAGCAAAATGTCGGACTCATCGGACGATGATTTGGTTTTGTTAGAAAATGTTTATTTAAAAATGCGAAAAACAGCTATACATCCTATAAATAGAGAAAGGAAACGTTTCGGAGAATACCATCATTTATTTGTAAAAAAATTTAATTTGATGAACAAAGATTTTATACATATACAAGAATGATTCAAGAAACATTTTATTACATTTTGGATTTAGTGAAAAACCGTTTGATTAAAAATTGGGGCAATTGGCATAAACAACCAATCCTTCCAGAAGAAAGACTTGTTGTCACCATTCGGTAAGTACGAAACAAATAATTTTAGCGCTTAGTTAATAAAAGATAAAGTTATTAGATTTATAAAAAGATCATAACTTAGATTGATTTAATCTAAGGATAATAATTCAAATACAAATTATTTATTATTCGGACCAGCGCGTGTCGGCGCTTATCGGCGCTTATCGGCGCCGGTCCATAGAAAAAGGATCAGCGTCAATAGGCGCCGATAAGCGCCGATCGGCTTTCGGCTTTCTTTCTGTATACGGCCTTAGCCCGATAAATCGCTTATTTTTAGGCAGACAAGTTTTCCTTTGTAGGGAATGCATAATTGCACTTAGGACCTTCTAATAACGAGGAAACTGTGTTGATATGAATCAAAGATGTTTTAAAAACCTTTATTTATGCAATAGATCATGTTATAGATAAAATTAGAATAGTGGTATGAATTAAGAAATCACTTAAAAAATTACTAATGTAACAAAAACTCTTTCGATTTCTTGACATTATAAATAAAGTTGGTTATAGAAATATTATAGAAAAATCCCTAGTCGAAGGGAAAAACTCCAAATAATTTAATTGCAAAATTATGTAACAGGAAGGCGGCAAAATCTGTCACGTCAAATAATCAAATAAGTCAAATATATAATATATTCACAAAAAACCGGAAAAGTGCCAGTCGGACTCGCGCACCGAGGGTTCCGTACAAACCTATACTACAATTATTTCAGTTTGATTTTGTTACAGCATAAATGTATTATAGACCTGAGTATTTGATATGAATTTAAATTTAATACTTCTACGCGTTCATGAGAATAGAGGTAGTAACTTTAAAATTTTCAAAAATATATTTTATTATATGATGTAACTAAAAATGTACGGTTTTCACAATTTTTTCCTTTATCTGTACTGTAAGACGTTACTTCGTACCAAATTTCAAGATTCTAAGTTCACAGAAAGTACGTGTAGGTTTTGATTCTCGTGCGAGTTTCGAAAATTTGCGATAATTTGAGGCATAAACGGCTGTATTTTTTGATTGTATTGGCTTAGAAGTTTGATTTTTTTTACAGCTCTAAGGGACAGTAGACTTGAGTATTAGATATGAATTTCAGTTTGATACCTCCACGCGTTCCTGAGAAAAACGGTCTTGACAGACCGACGGACGGACGGACAACAAAGTGATCCTATAAGGGTTCCGTTTTTTCCTTTTGAGCTACGGAACCCTAAAAATAACATATTTATTTTCAGGGAAACGTACATTGAAGCAAAAATCTACCTCATTGTTTTCAAATGGTTCTAAGAAATAAGATTATGGTGGATCAGGAATCAAATCGGCTGATTGTACATACTCAATTGAGTATTAGGTATAGAAAGAGATGAAAAAATATACAAAAATAACATTTAATTATTTTTCACTAGCTTATAATGAATAGTGGTTATAATGGTTCTATTAATTTAAAAGCATGTAAAAACAATAATGTCTGTAAGAGCCTTAAAATCTTTGAAGCAACAAATATTACTTTTGAAAGATGGTAAAAAAAATCTAGTCATTATTTATGCATAAACAATTTCAATATTCTGAAATAAATGGACGCACTATTGTTATAACGTAATCATGCAGAAGATTCGTCATTTAATTTAGAGATATTGCAATTTTCATGAGAATGAAATTGCGCTACAGACTTTTCTTGTCATTCTTCTGCGTAGAAACAATTATTATTATACTAGTGGCCCGCCCTCGCTTCGCTTCGGTGTAGAGCTATAGTGTAGACTAAAATGACTTCATATAATTATAAAAAAAAAACTGAAAATGGTATATTTGCCTTTTCCAAACTTTTATTGACATCACGTCACTCAATTATTTTGCCTTCCCGAAACCTCTCCATTAACATTTGAAATTTATTGTATGGTATTAAAGTTCAAATTGACTTTTAAGTATTATTACGAATCGTTTGTATGGGAGTATAGAAAAGTGTTGTATTTGGACTTTTTAAGGCATTTTTTTAATTTTTCTCTGCGTAAGAACCATCCTCCATCTTCAAGGAATATCCTAAAAAGAATTATCGAAATCGGTTCAGCTGTTCTCGAGATTTGCGCTTAGCAACACATTTAGCGATGCATTTTTATCGTTCTTCTGCGTAGACCCAATTTTTTATTCTTTAAAAAAGTAAGGTGAAGGTTTGTAAAGTGAGATGAGCAGTGTATTCATATACCCTCTTTATCAAAAAAGTTACAGACTGCATCAACTAATAAGGCTTTCTTCCTATTGACCCTGAAAATTTGTGTAAAAGATGGGATAAAAAAAAAGTTCAAGTACGAGTGCAACTCGAGTAGAAAGGATTCTGTTCACAGAAATGCTTTTTAGAGTAAAATTACATAGATAGAAAAGGCCGGATCAGCCAAAACTTTTTAAATTATTTAACAAATAGATAAAAAAATACCTTTTAAGGGAGGGGGGGAGGGGGACTTTATCTTCGAAAATATGGGTCTATACTATGTGCGACTAAAAATTTGTATAAAAAAATATAATGTAGCTTTTTGCTTGCAGATTTCAGCAAAACCTTTAAGAAGTTTATAGTATGCGTGGTGCTGGTTCCTTTCATGTCCAGTTGTAGCAATTAAATTTAATAACGTTAAAAACTTAGCAATATAATTCTTAAATATTAAGTCGTAGAAATATTATTATTTATTCAGCGCCATCTATCATCATGCATATAAATTATTCAATATCGAAATCCACTTTGAAAAGCAATGGACAAGTACAATATATGTGTGAACCTAGTAGTTGCACTTGGAATGTAAGTTAGAGGGAGCTAGTGTGTAAATTTTTTTAAATGAGATGCGGAAATGGATGTGACGTCACATTAATGTTCTGGAAACATTGAAAGGCGGAGTCAGCAAAACCGGTCCGTGTGCTTCCTCATACCAAATATGGTAATATGAGAGAAATTTGCAATGACGCTGTCACGTGTTGTAGTAGCCTATAAATAGCAGTGCACAAACAGATTCGCTCTCTTTTGGCTGATAGAACTTTGAAGACCATACTTAGAAAATAGCATTAAGACTAGCAGTGGTAGTCAGTGCATTATATACTTGTTATTTCTCCCCGGATTAACGGGTAAGTTCAATACATTTGATTCGTTAGGCTGTAGGTCCAGTTAGTTTTTTTATTGAATTAAAGAAAAATATGTAATTGGTTCTAGGTCCATTAATTTGGCTAATTAATAACAGTAATAATCACAATTACTTGATCCTGATTGGAATCTCCTTGGAAAAATATATATATGAGCCTGTGAAGCTTTCTTGAGCAAAAAAGTGACGTGTTCACGTGATGACAGCAAGTCCTGCTTCATCCCTGAGGACATTTGAGTGATCCTGATGCTCCCATGATCTTGCCAAGCTAAGTAAAACTTATAACTTCTTGATATTTAACCAGTGCATACTCCGGAGAACAATTTCTGTTTAACGTGACAAAAGATTTGAATTGGTAAACTGTAAAGCCATTATAAGAACGTAACAAATTTTTATTGTTAAATTTTCAAAACTTAATATTTTATAACTTGTTTAATAATTTGTTTATATAAGAAACTTAAATTGAGTATTACTGTATTAGCACATGATCTTGAATGTTTGAATAGCTTTAAATCAAAAGAAAAATCTTTGAAGAAATATAACTATGTATTTTTAACTTGAATGTGACTAGTATTAAGTTTTAACCATGATGAGATAAGATCTGAATCTTTTTAACAATATAATATCTTGTTCACTGCGGTTTTAGACATTTTCATTTATCTCCCTCAAATCACAGTATCACGGCGCCCTGATTTTAAATTAAATAAGTTTCGAGTCTCATGTAAGCCCTGAAATAGTCGGTGGTAACTAAAATTGTTACAAAATGGCGCCCAACGTGGGGCCCGAGCAATAAAATACTGTATTTGAGGGAAATACTGGTGTGCTGGTATGATGATAAAAAGGTTGGCGGAAAAATAAATGCTTAAATCCCCA